AAAAACAAATCAAAAAACCTCATGTAGGCTGAATCATATTGTAACGAAAAACAAAATATAAAAAAAAAAGTAGTTCGTAAAATAATTTTTAGTTTTTATTTCTTAAAGTCCTTCGGAAAATTGTAGACGCACCCTTTTACGTTTCAAACCTCACGTTACACACTGACCTTAACATTCCTTTTATCACGGCAACTGCCACTGACCGCTTTAATAATTTTCATGACAGACTGACTCTAAATTCCAATCCACTTAATTAAGCTCTATCTACTGCCACAAATCCATATAATCGCCCAGAAGACTGCTGAGGCGCTGGCCAAGAGACTTATTGCATTGAGCTACTTGCTGCATTATCTTTTTTTTTTTTTGTTTGTGTGTTATTATGTGTTATCTTACTACTGTTTTTTTTACCTGTTTTTTTTTGTCTTCTTATTTTGTTATTACTATTCTTTTTTTCTTTATGCTATTATTTCTTCTCCTTGATATCATATTTGCTGAATACCGAGGTAGATGGCAAATTTATTGTAAGCCAAGAATATGTTCATTATAATAAATAAATAAATAAATAAAGTTTTTTATAAATAATTTTTTTTTTATTAACGCGAAGACGGTTAAATATATAATTAAGTATTTAGTATTAGTTTTAATAATAAGCAATTGTTTATAATAAGTCTAGTTTTAAGTATTAATTGTAGATATTATTTTTAAGTCAGTGTAACATAAAGCAGCTGATTGGGAAAGAAAAACAAAAGGGAGTTGAGAGAGAGATGGCGGAACCTCGCGATTTAACAAGTTGGTGAATGAACATTTTCACAACTAGAGGAGATAGACTGGGGAGACACTGACGACGCTAGCTCGTATAAGTTCTTGCTTCTTCAGATAACCCAATGTGCCAATTGGACAAAGTTCATCCAGTGGGATATTGTAAATATGTACATATAAGTTTTTTTCCTATCTATTTTTTATCCCAAATATTTGTAATTGGTTTATTGTATAGTCGTAAGTTAATGTTTAGTTCTATAATAATTTTATAATCTTTTCTTTGATAATTAAAGTTAATTGTATTTTCTTTGTTTTCTTATAAATCTAATTTCTTGTTCATAATTTTCATTTCCTTTAACAGTTATTCATCATTAGTAATAATAATATCCAGTTTTATTTTCTTATTTTTCTTCTGTTTGTTTTCACGTTTTATGTATATTATATTCTTCTTTTTTTTTGGGTTTAATAAGGAACTGTTAAACCCTATTCGAGGAATTAGGAAAAGTCATTATTAACCAAGTAAGAAGGTTCGATAGGTTATGAGGTTAATTAACATATGTTTTTAAACCCATAAATTGTTATGTGTATATATATATATATTTAATATATATATATATATCGTTTACTAATCTGTTATTATATTATATTATATTAGTCATACTTAATGCTGTGGACATTGTTAATGTTATGTTTGAATGCAGTACTAGACTCAAGATCTAACATTGTGAATTATACCATTATATTTATTTGTACAGGAATTTCCTTAGACAAATAAAATAAAATATCTAAAAAAAAAAAAAAAAATGTTTTTAAACCCATAGGTTCTGAGTTCGTAGGTCACTCCGCGTCCTAATCTTTTCTTTTTATTAATTAAATTTATTTTTATTTATTTTTATTTTTATGGTTTTCGCTATTTCTCAAACTCAACAAATTAAATAGCGTAGCGCCTGTTAGATAATTAGTAATATTTAATTGACCCTTGATTATTATTTTTTTTTTTTACGAACCCTGCCGTCTCCACTGAGCATCCGGCAACTTTGTTGCGGAAACGATTTTTCTAAATTAAAGACCGTAACAATATTAAATATTTTTACTTATTTCTCTAAAAAGTAATGCGTTAAACAGACAATAACGACCAATGCACTGGAAGGAAAAATTGAAACTGTACCTACAATGATTGCTCTAAACTGCTTTTAGACATTTCTCAAACCATGGAAAGTATGAGCCTAGAAAAAGGGATTTTCTAAAGGCTAGGGTTTGTCTCCTTAATATTGCCTGCACGTTCGCCATTCTCCGCAACTTACAATTAAAGCCAACATTTACAACTATATTTTAAGTAATATATATTTCTAAATAAGTATCATCAAATTATTTTATTGATTAAATTAAGATTAAAACAACCCACACTGTTACTTAAACTAAAAAATATTCGCTTGAAAACTGCCTCTCATTAGTTCCGGCCTAGATCGACAGTCGGTTTTCCAGTACAAATTAAAAACGCTGCAAATTATTCCACAATGGTTTATTATTTCTCAGACAATTATATATCTAAAGTAACATTACCTTCATAGTTACAAAGAAAAATAAATAAATAGGTGATTCCAATTATTGGACTAAACTTTTTTTTTTAATTGGTAAATTATATATCATTGGTAATATGCTAACAAAAATAGCATTACATTAGTAACATATTCAAAATTTAAAAACCAAACAAAGGATATAACATTGGGAGTAGAACATATTAAAAAAAACTGGAGACCATATCTTTGCCCCTAATTGTCCGATTTTAACGATTTTTTTTTTTTTTTTTAGGAAATTTCGTAAAATTTTAAAAAACCATTACTTCATCTACAAAAAAGTGTAAACTTTTTGAGTTATTCGGAATTTAATTTTACCATCCCTCGTAACTTTTTTTCCAGCTTCTTTTCGTTGAAGTATGTTATATAGATAAATTTAAAGGGCGTCAAGAAAATGACTTTATCGAAGTTTCATTGAAATCGGTTCATTCATTTAGGAGTTACTATAGCAACGCAGGTTTTTTGGCCGCCATTTTGAAAGTAAAAGGCGGATGGTAATGTCGATGAAGGAGGATCATCCTTGAGTGACCTCTGATTTAATATCCAAATTTGAAAATAAACGGTCCAGTAATTTCGGAGAAAATGCGCGAACGGCGGACGGCGGACGGACAAATTTTTATTCGTTTTTCGAATTCTACGCATCCTGAAACGTGAAACCTCAAATTTTGAGAGGGGGTTAAGTTTTTAAATTTTTTGGTCGATCACAATGGTTGATTATTGAAAATAATAAACCAAAATTGGTCAAGTATTAGTGAAGCTTTTAAACCTTTGTTTACAATTTGCTTGAGATGTAATGTATAATTAGTCATCCGGTCTCGATCACGATGAATTTATTTCATCCACCATCCACCGTGTTTTCTTATAAAATTACAATAGTGCAAACGCGATCACTGATAAAATTTCCATGTCCGCCACGTGGGTTTCTCTGGTTGAACAAAGGTTTTGTTTTTGTATAAAGATATTAGGATAATTACTTCGGAAGAAAGAAAGAAACTAACTACCTATATGAAATAGCCTTTAAGTCCTATTAACTGTAATTAGACGAACAATAACACTTTTAGAGATAATGTTTTTCATAAAACATGGTTAGATGTTACCATTTTAGAGAGGGGGGGGGCCTTCAGCCCGAAAGCTCCTCCCGCAGATCCACCCTTGCTACTTTTCCTGGTACCGCCTCTGTTATGGTTTATTGCCCCAAGTCTAGACAGCCCTTTTTGACAAAGCCCTCGCTCGTGTGCCCTGAGACCTAGCTTCTATGCCTAAGCTCAGACACGTGGCGCAGATAGAATGGACATTTTTCTTTCATACATACCATTTCTACTCAGAAATTTAACATTCTTATTGACTCTGGCCATTATAATCTAGCATAATTAAAAGAAATGAAAACAAAAAAAAAAGGAAACTTTCAGAAAAAAAACTGTTGAATAATTATTATTTTCTTGTAATAAATATAGTATATTCCTCACCAATAACATTCATCCCAAAGAACAAAGGATTCAAACAAGGACAAGACACATCTTTAATTGTAGTGTTCCTTAATAGTAGTGCTAAATAAAAGGATCTGCTTTTCTATTATTTTTTTTGTTATATATATATATATATATATATATATATATATATATATATATATATATATATATATATATATATATATATATATATATATACTTTTCAATTTCAGTTAGTTATTTCATACTTTATTGTTTGTAGCAGCTATTTTGCTGTATTGTGACCTTTTTGCTCATATTTTTTCTTTAATATAAGAACTATTATATAGTAATAAAGAACTATTTATATAGCTATAATGATAGCTATATAAATAGTTCTTTTATTACTTATGTTTTAGTTATACTTTTATTGTAACAGGTATTTTTTTTTAATGCTAATTTTTATGATCAATATTATTATTTTTAAGATACCTTGTCCCGGAATAAAGTTTATTCTTATATTATATATATATATATATATATATAAATTTCTTAAATCTAAAATATTTTCCCCTTGTTCAAGGGAAAATATTGGAGTACTTCATTGGAGTTATTTATCTCGTGAAAATAAAAGGACTTATCTCCAAGAGCTTATCTTCAAACTAAACTTTAAGATACTATTATATCGATATAATATAATAGAATAATGTCAAGAACATCGACATGTAAAACAATAGTTAAGGCGAGAATCTCAAAATTATTTCTAAAATATGCAGATTGACTATTCTTGGCTACAGGATTATATTGTGCATTTTTAGTCTAGTTTTTGATTTTATAACAGATTTTTTAGGTTGTTATTTTTAACATAAATTTATGAATGGAATAAATGCAAACTATAATAAAATTATTCCATATAAAGACCAATGTGATAATAATTTAAAAGAAAAAAAATATATTTCTATATTTTTTTCAAAGATGTAGAGTTGTGGTCCTAATTCATTAAATATTGTATGTATGTATAATGTGTGTGTGTTTGTATGTTTGCACGTAGCATTAATATCTATTTTATAACTGAATAGAGTATAGTTTCCTAAATATTTACATGTACATCGGCGATTGCCCTTAAGATACCTGTCCCAACCCTCGGTACTGGCTTTTCTTTGCCCCTAGGGTATAAATAGGCTGTGCAAACTGGCAAAATTTTAGTGTGCAGTAGTGAGTTAAGCGGGACATCCAGATGGTACATCTGGTGAGTCATTTTTGCTATATTTTTCGAAAAAGCACTGATGTAGAGAGCTCATCACAAATCCTGGTGACTGCGTTCCTATATCAGTGTTACCAATCATTGTATTAATATAGTTTTGTGTTATTATGTCCAATACATTTTGTTATAAATGATGTTTATTTTAAAATTTATTGTTTGAATTTTTACCTTAATTGTTAATTTTACCTTTTAAATTTAAATTTTACCTTTGTGTGGTGGTATCATCTGCCTTCAAATCAAGTGCCATGGTGTCTATCATAATTCATATTTTAATTAATATTATGTCTATTATTTTGTAATATAATTTACTTAGACTTAACCGTTATTTCATTAATATATTTTTTAATTATTTATGGGCTGTTCTCATTTCACGGCTATTGCCACTACAAATTTTACTCAATTAGTTAAAAAAAACGTGTTCCATTACAACCCACGGAAGGTCTTTTCCGAAACTCCATATTGGAATGGGGAAGGGAGGGGAGCGTTTCTGGGGTATTTCTTAGGGTGAAGAGTTTATTGTAGTAGCTTTTGGATCATTTAATTCTAACCTTAAACTCACTCGATTCTGTCTAAATTGACATAATCACATTGCTATTTTTATTTTTTAGTCAGGGTGTAGTTTTTTTTGTTTGTTTTTAAAGTCAAAATTAAAATACAACTCTGTTGATCATAAATAGTTGTAAGGACATTGTCTAATAAAATATAATTGATTTATTGTATGAACTGCTATCATTAACTTGAAATTAAAGTATTGTATTTCAACATAATTGTATTGATTCAACGCTTAAATAGTACTGTTTTAATACCAATAATTGTACAGGGAAGTAATCGGGCTGAGATCATGCTCAGCCGTCTGGTTTCACCCCTCCCCTTATTTAAAAAAAAATAGTATTTATTGAGTAATATAACATTGAGTAAAATAGATAACGGTTACAGTGAGATGAATTAATATTTAATTTAGAATAACGTCAGTGGTGCCGCGACCTTTTGTAGTTTACATAAATTGGAGTTCTGGCATTGGTCAGATTCTCCACTAAAGATGTAGTGGCTAAATTGTCTCGATCAATCTTCACTGGATTTAATACCAGTGAAGCGGTTGAGAGAGTAGCGCAGAGATCTGGAGTCCATAGTTGGAGGGACAAGTTACCTCGGAGTTAGTGATGGGGCCATATAGGCGGAGCTGTGATTCTGTCACTGTGACTGAGCCGGAGCTGGTGATCACAGTGACAGTCACTGTAGTCACTGTGAAATCATTGCGTTCCAACAGCGACAGTCACTGTTGGTGTGAAATCACAGCTCTTATCATTCCGCTTCATCACTCATATTGCACCAGCGATCTGGGGACCGTTTATTTGTAAAATGTTAAATACACCTTTGCCATAATTTATTTAATTAATGAATTAAAGGAATACTTATTTCTAAATAATGGTTATTTTTCAAATTTTATTATACATACATCTTGAACTTTGGCTGACAAACATTCATTGCAATAAAGCCATATATTTTTTAATGAGTTATTTCTGAAGTAATTAACGAAAAGTTTTTTTTTCAGTATTTTATTTATTAATTAACCCGCTGTTCCATGTGAACAATTCGCAAAATATATTGTTTAGTGAAGGAAAATCATAATAATATAGAGATAAGTAGATCTTATTACAATATTTCATTTAACATAATATATCAAAATATTTGTACAAATTACTTTTCTAGGACCAATTTATAAATGCTGAATATTACCATTCATAATAAAAAAGGCCTTGATCAGGGGATTGTTGTTATTAAAAAATAAAAAACGTACTAACAAAAAAATCCTTTAAAAACTATTTTATTTTTAAGAACTATTTCACTACTTTCTTTATTACATAATTACCGTTTATTTTTTAAATAAATTATTTTTCAAAAACGTAAAATAATTATTTCCGAAATAACTCCAGTTCTGTAGTAAGTTCAAAATGCATGAGTAGTGAAAAAATATAATATTGTTAAATTACGACTACACTCAAACCAGTCAATTACAGTGACCTTTTTACCCAATGTACGCAACATATCAAACTTTTTTTCTATAATGTATTCAACCCATCACTTTCAAAAGCAATGTGAATTAAGACAAAATTGAGGTGAACCTCATTCTTTCCGTGTTTACTTTCAATTACCTATATATGTAATATATAGTAAGGGTAAGTATTGCGATCGTGAAAATTTTTGAATCTGAATTTTCAACGGAAATACACGTTTTCCATGAGTCCAAAAAAATGTCGTGTGAAACTGATATTATTTTAATTAAGATTGGTCTATGCCTTAGATGTGGCAGCAACGTTTTCCTTAAAATCGGCTAACCGGAAGTGCCACTTTATATCAATGATGAAACACATTTTTACAATTTTCTCAAAAATGGCTCAAATGATTTTGATTAAGCTCGGTGTTTCATTGTATAATGGAATGGTATTTAATATCAATCAGATCTTATTGCCATTGATGTCACTTTACAGGGCTTAAATTTCCAATGTTCATATGCGCCTTCCTCTAAAGTACGTTTAATATGGTTCATTTTAAATAATTAACTATCTCTCATTATTATGAGTTACGAAAAAATGCTAAATATATGTTTTGAAAGAATTTCATAATTTAATAAAGGAGATAAAAAGAAAAATACTTATCCAGATTGAAAATGAATATCCGGCAATAATAGTCAGAAAGTATACGAATAATATGTCGTTAGAAAGCGGATAATTAAAAAAAAAACATAGATACTACAGAGAGTTGTAGAAGGTAACGGAGAGTGGTGAAAAAATTATAGATAATAATTCCTGAAAATTAATAACATTTTATTTGAGTTCTATCAATGGGTAGTTTCTCTTCATGTTGTACATGTCATGTTACCAATGTCTCATTTACTTGTTGTATTTTTCATGTAATACAGTAGTAAATTTCATTAAAAAAAACAAACAAAAAAATATTTAACTTAAATCACATGTTTTGAAGGAAATTAAATGATATTTACTTACTAAATGTAAACTATTCATTTTTTTTTAAGTTTGAGAAAGTATTCAAAACCCACAAATTCAAGATACTATTTCATTGTACTATTGTCAAAGAAGAAATGAAATATTAAAATATTTCGTGGATACGTTTATAACCTTAAATATATTTACTGTAGTTTAATAACTCTAGATCAATCTAGATAAATTATTATATAACTTTTTAGAAAATTAAATTAGTGAATAATTCGATGAATTTTCCCTTTGTGGAATTCCAACATTATCATGTATTAATCTAAAGTACCTTTGATTTGGTTTATCATAAATAATAACTATTTATCATTAGTAGGAGTTATGGAAAAATGCTAAATATAAATTTTATAAGAATTTGGTAATTAAATAAAGGAGAAAAATACTTATTCAGATTGAAAATGAATATCCGGCAATAATAGTCAGAAGGTATAGGAATAATATGTCGTTAGAAAGAGAAGAATTAAAATAACCCATATGTACTATAGAAAGTTGCAGAAAGTAACGGAGAGCGGTGAAAAAATTATAAATAATAATTTCTGAAAATTAATAACACTTTATTTGAGTTCTACCAATGGGTAGTTTCTCTTCATGTTGTACATGTCATGTTACCAATGTTTCATTTACTTGTTGTATTTTCCATGTAATACAGTTGTAAATTTCATTAAAAAAAATAAATAAAAATAAAACTTAAATCATATGTTTTCAAGGAAATTAAATGATATTTACTTACTAAATGTAAACTTTTTAATTGTTTTTAAGTTTGAAAAAGTATTTCAAATCCACGAATTCAAGGCAATAAATAACATAATTTGTCGAGATTCAAACTTGGAGTATTATTTTTATTGCCAATAATTGTGTCAATCAATCGTAATCAGATATTATCTGCCTTATGACCTTATTTTATCAATATTGGTAGAGTTTGACCATTTTCTATTTGTTACTTTTTTTTTTGTCTTCCCCATCACCTTTTGATTAAAATTTGAGCAGATACCAATATTCTAAAGACCAATATATCAGCCTTACGGCCATGTTTCATCGAGATCCAAAAAATTTCATATCGATCTTATTGCCTTGTTTTATCGGAATCGGTTGTTTGACCACTTATTTATTTATTTTTTATTTTTTTATTCCTATTTTCTTCCGGATTCGGACAGATATCGATATTCAAAAGGGAAATATATCGGCCTTACGACCTTTGTTTTGTCTGTACATTGAATAGAATCAACCCGTTTTATGATATCTTTCCTTTTCATACATTGCAGACACTAAATCGACTTTTTAAAAAATGTTTGTCTGTCTGTATATCCGCATTGCAAGGAAATTTTGTCAGGGGTAATCTCAGCAATGGCTTATTGTAGACTTTTGAGATTTTGACATTATATTAAGGTTTGCTTAACTTAAAACTTAGGCTTTAAATATTAACAAAATATTGAGTAGAACCAAAGTTATGAATTCTTGAGTAATTTGTATAGAGATCTCGGTTAATGTTGATAATAAATGTTAATAATAAACATATGTTTATAGGTTAAAGATCATCTATATAAATAAAATAAAAGTTTTGTTTGTACATTAAATAGAATCAACCCGTTTCATGATATCTTTCCGTCCCATACATTACAGACACCAAATCCACATTTAAAAGATTTTTTGTCTGTCTGGATGTCCGCATTGTCCAACGAAATTTCGTCAGGGGTAAGTTCGGTAATGGCTAATGGTAGACTTTTGAAATTATATTTAGGTTTGCTTGACTTAAAATATAAGCTTTAAATGAAAACAAAATATTGAGTAGAACCAAAATTATGAATTCTTGGGTAATTTGTCTAGAGATCCCGGTTAGACAGTTACTTACTTCGATTCCCATCCCGTCCTACTCTATCGCTAGTGACATTTAAAAGTTTACTACTCAACTGATAGAAAAAATTATCACAACTCAACGGGAAAAATCCAGAATTCCGAACATTTGTAACGCGTTGT